TCTCCTCTCTCTCTCTCTCTCTCTCTCTCTCTCTTCTCTCTCTATCTCTTTCACTTCTCTTCTCTCTCTCTCTCCCTCTCTCTCTCTCTCTCTCTCTCTCTCTCTCTCTTCTCTTCTCTCTCTCTCTCTCTCTCTCTCTCTCTCTCTCTCTCTCTTTTCTCTCTCTCTCTCTCTCTCTCATCTCTCCCTCATCTCTTTCTTCTTCTCTCTCCATCTCTCTCTTTTCTTTCTTTCTTTTTTCTCTCTCTCTCTCCTCTCTCCTCTTCTCTCTTTCTCTCTCCTCCTCTCTTCTCTCTCTTCTTTCTCTTCTTCACTCTCATCCTTTCTCGTCTCTCTCCCCTCTCTCCTCCTACTACCTCTCTTTTCTCTCCTTTTTCTCTCTCTCTCTCTCCCTCCATCACCACGTATGTATATCTCCTGTGTCTTTCTTTGATATTGTAATTCGTCATCGCAACGTAGAGCATGAATCATCTGTAGCACTATGACTCAGCATATAGAGAATTTCAGCGAGATGAGGAGCTGTATGTAGTAGAGATATGCAGAGAGAGATGTAAGAGAGAATTGCAGAGTAGTGCAGTTATGAGAGAGATGAGACTACGTTATAGACAGAAAGTAGCGATGAGAGATAGACGAGACTATCTAAGTCTAGAGTACATACTACGACAGACAGAAGAGACAGATCACGACCAGATTGAAGAAGACCCGAGACAAACCTCGACAACACATCCGTCTCTCCAGAGAAGATCACCGCGAGCGAAGGCCCAGGAGGCGATGCACAACCTCTCCCAAGGCTTTGTTTGCACGTCCTCGGTTAGCGCCTCGCCATTCCTCTTGTCTCTCTCCGTCCCCCTCGTTAATGCGATGCTTATACGAACAGCCATTGCATTTCCCTACTCTCGCGTCGTGCTGTTCAATATCCCATCGCGTCCCCAGGATTTCCATTCCGTTTTCGCTAGCATCTGTGCTCTGCCTCTCGGACGATCCTATATACGCGCATCGCCGGCGCTCGCTCGGCTTCCCCCGTGTCATTCCTCCCGCCCCCTCCCATCTGTTCTCCAGATTACCCTTCTCGTCTTCTCTCCGGTACCTCCTTCTCATCGTCCGTCGTGCCCTTCTCCTCTCCTCCGTCTCCCGCGGTTCTATTCTCGTCTGCAAGGTCTCTTCTCCGGTTCGTCTCGCTCCTTTCTCTCTGTTCTTTCTTTTTCTCTTCTCTCCGGGTACTCTGGAGGAGTGCGCCTTGTCTCGCGCTCGTTACTGCTGCGTCAACTCGGTCAGGATAAGTCTCTTCCTGGCGCTCTCTCTCTCTCTTCTCCCTCTTCCCACTCCTCTCCCTCCCTCTCCCTCTTCGCGGCCTCTCGCCTCTCCGCACCGTCAACGCCTGCCTTACCCGCTCGACTCTTCCGTCTCAAGCTCCCTGTCTCTCCCTCTCCCTCTGTGTCTCTCCGTCTCTCCGCGTCGCCTCGTCCCGCTTCCCTCTCTCTCTCCTCTCCCTTCCCCTGTGCCCTAAAATACACTATATACCTCACTCGGTCCTCCCTAACTAAAAAAAAGTATCTGACTTACAAATAAAAAACCCAATAAAGTCGGGAAGTCAAACACTGATGATATACATCCGATTTAATCAGGACACATCCAAATGTTTTATCAATAAGGAAACTTTTCCTGTTGTGCACACTCAAATAGATATATTCTGGCACAGGCCGTCTGGGAGTAGTGCGTTTTAGTTGGGTTATATACTAAGGCTTGTGGCTACTGTTTTAGATTTGGTTGGAAAAGAAAGGAGAAAAAAAAATCTTAAAGAGAGAGAGAGAGAAGAGAAGAGGGAAAGAGGATGCGGAGAGAGAGAGAGAGAGGAGAGAGAGGAGAGAGAGAGAGAGAGAGAGAGAGAGAGAGAGTAGAGAGAGAGAGAGAGAGAGAGAGAGAGGATTTTGAGAAGATTTAAGAGAGGACAGGAGGAGGAGAAAGAAAGAGAAAGAAGAGGAGAAAGAGAGAGGGACGAGAAACGGAAAGGAAAACAGAGAGGAGAGGTAGATGAGAGAGAGAGAAGAGAAGAGAAGAGAGAGAACGAGGAGTCAGGGGAGAGAGAGAGATAAGGACAGAAGCAGAAGAGCGAGGAGAGAGAGAGAGAGAGAGGATCAAAAATCGACGCATAATCGACATTTCACGAGCCAAGGTTACTGGACTTGTATTGCCTATGGATCCGTGTCAACCACCTACGTTTCACTGCAATGCTAGCAAACAATATCTATGTATACATATATATATCTTATATATATATATATATATATATTATATATATATATTACTAATTTTTATATATTGTGTGTGTGTGTGTGTCGTGTGTTGTATATACTCCATATTATTATATGTATATTACACGAACTTATATATATATATATATATTATATATAATATAACTAGTATATATTTATATATTATAGCATAGTATCCAGCACGGGTAGAGTGTTTTCATTCATAATACACACAGTCCATACATTATATTATATATAATATATAATCTATCTTTTATATATATATTATATAGTATTCTGTATAATTCTCTGGTTGAGTAATCCATACGGTACATCGCTCGTCGGGCATCTATATATATATATATATATATAGGAGGCTATAGAGGAGACTGCCGTGTGTGTGTGTGTTGGCAGGTGAGCTCCCCTCCCTCCTGCCGTCAGCATCTACGTAATGAGCGGAGAGGGACCTCGCAACTTTGACCCCCCCCCCCCCCACTTCCCTCATACTTCGTGGTCACTCCCTGTAAACAACCAAAAGATGGAAATTTCTTAAGTTACCCACCCGCGGCCGCACTGTTCTTTATTACACACAAGTTCTTTTTGGAGACAAACACTGACCCGGCACGCTGAGAAGGGCAGCTCGCGTCTAGTGTTCAAAGGAATAATAGCCATTACGTCAAGTATTATCTAAATGAAAAGTTTGACATTTTAATGCGAATATGATCTCTTTAAAACTGCTTCGCCCCCTCGTCCCCCATCAGGGCGCTGCTCCTGAGCCCTGTCGGGAGAATGCAGCCCCACGACCCCTATTTTCTGGGGGGAAACTTTGCGCCCCATCTCGAGATACGTTCACTAGTTTCTGTGGCGTAATAGGGTCATAATATATATTGTAGTTATAATAGTATATAACGTAATAGATCGGAATATATAAATTATAAGGTTAATAGGGATTTGTATATAGCTGATGTATATATATATTATATATAGCCTATCCTATATATGATATATATACGTGATATATATACAGGTTAGGTCTTATCCTGTTATCGACAATCGCGCAACAACACACAAAACAAACCACACACCACACACACACGAACACACACCCACACCACAAAACAACACTAACACACACCACCACACACACAAGACAACCCACGCAACTCACTCACTCACACAGCATCTAGTGTTATGTGTTTGGGTTTTTAATAAGCGCTGATTATTGTGTGATGTCTGTGGTGTGTGTGTAGTCGTGTCGTCGCCAGTGATGTTACACACCACCACACAACACCAGTAGTGATGTTAGACTCACACTCAATGTCCACCACAACATCTACCAAACGTCTCACACCATATATATATATTATATATATATATCTGTGGTGTGATGTGTGTGTGTGTGTGTTGTGTGGTGTTGTGTGTGTATATGTATGTATGTGTTTGTATGTACCTATGTACACACACGCACACACACACACACACACACCCACACACACACCACACACACACACACACACACACACATATATATAATATATATATATATATATATATATATATATGTGTGTTGTGTGTGTGTGTGTGTGTGTGTGTGTTGTGTGTGTGTGTGTGTGTGTTGTGTGCATATCTTTGTGTAAAGTGTGTAAGTGTGTGTGTGTGTTTGTGCGTGTTATGTGTGTGTGTGTTGTGTGTGTAAGTGTGCGTTCATGGGTATGTGTGTTTAGACACAATATATATATATATATATATTATATATATATATATATATATATAATATATATATATATATATGTGTGTGTGTGTGTGTGTGTGTGTGTGTGTGTGTTGTTGTGTGTGTGTTGTGTGCATATATATGCACATATTCACATTCACATGTGCGTTCTTACGCACGCGCGCGCGTTTACACACGAAGCCGGATGAAGTCACATGAAAACAATAATAGAATTCAGAATAATGATAATCCATAGGACATTGACAATCACAATCTAAATTTATCTTGTACTCGCGTCATACCTGTCTCTGCCATATGATATCGACCACACTATTGGGTTCCTGAAAGCAGATCTCTAGGCAAATAAATTCAGTCGTTATAGATACAGATTCGCTGCAGGTAAGTTCGCTCTTGTGGTATATAGATAACTATGCAGATTTTTTCTTTGGTTTGTATGGCAGTTTAATTTTAATTGACAGGATAAGGGATGTTCTGTTATGTATTTCCCCTTATTTTTTCTGATATTTGTTTTTATTTTCCTCTTGCTTTTGTTATGTTTTGCAGCATTTCGTATGCTGTAGTTATTGATTTTTTTTTTCTAATTAGACTTTGTTATATTAAATATATATATATATATATATATATATATATATATATATATATATATATATTATATATATATATATATATATATGCAGTCGCGATAGCGGAATATAGGAATTATTTTCATTAGAAATAATAGGTCAGTACTATAAAAATCACAGTTGAGTGTAAATTATGGTCGATTGATTAATGCGGTTTTTGAATATCAATTTGCAGTATAGTAACTTCTACATCGAAAAAATACGATAAAATAACAATGGAATATATATACATATTTTTTAGCACAGGAGCGACAATAAGCAAACAGAAAAATTCTCTTTTGAGATATCGGATTCTTTCACGAATTCCCTTTAATATATAATTTTCGTCAAATTGTTGATGCTCTTATGTTTCAACCCTTCGCCACCTCAACATTCCCATTCGTCTATTGAGTCATCTTCAAAACAATCTGCCATTCATTTGAGTTTACTGAAACATTTTCTCTCTTTTTGAATGAACTGCGGGGAAATTAAGCCTCTGTGTGGCTCCTGTCCCACATGGAAGTGAGGAAGGAATATGTAGGATATGTATGAGGTGAGTGATACGGGACTTGATTAAAGGAAAAGGAGGGAATTAATGGATTATGTTTAGTCTTTGAGATTTTGGTTATGTGGAAAATTGACAATTGAGATGCCGGAATAAGGTAATTATTGTAATGATGTTGATTGGATGGACGAAAAATGATTATTTAGATTTTACATATTAAAGGATTTGTAATTAGTAAATTTTCTTAGCGTCTATAAGTCGAGATTGAAACCTGTAGTAATTTTTTGTGCAACATTTTTATTTTTCATTTATAGTTGATATAATTGATTCATTTACAATTGAGTTTACTCCAGCGAGATCATAGAGTAAATGTGAATTATTATCTGAATTGTCACAAATAAGGGGTGGAATGCATAGTGACATTTTAATCTGGAAAAGAAAACTTATTCAGAGTACAAATGATTTATTGAATATGAATTATTATTGTTGATAGTAATTATTTCTATAATGATAAATCTATATACTGAAACTAGTTCAGGAAAAGTATGATCCAAATAAGGAAACTTGTGCTTGAGTCATGGAGTTGTAACTAGGAAAAAATGTTAAATCAGACTTCATGATAATAGATTGAAAGAATTTTTTATGGTTAACTGTCAGGCTTTTGCTGTAAACAGTATATGGATGTGATAAACAGATTTAATATAAGACAGTTTTCATCCATGCCATTAAATAAAAAACAAGTGAACAAACAAAACAAAATCATGTGGTAGGGAATCATAGGTGACAGTAATTGCACAATTCCATATAAGCATAATTGTGCCTTTGTTGGATAAAAGAGGAGGGCAAGAAATCTATACGTAAATTCATTATCATGGCTTTAGTACAAATATATCGGAGCAGTAGCTTTGCAGCGTAAAAAATATAACCCTTTCATATAGAAAGAAAATATTAAAAGAAAAGACCTAAGGTAATGAAGCATTAGAATTTCAGCAATAAAGCTAAGTGATTGCAATCAACACCTGGAACTGTTACAGTTTTCTTCATTGTAATATTAGTTAATTTATGGATAATATTTATTTAGGTCATTTCATATTGATAAGATACACCATGAAATATAGTATATTCTTATAATATGTAAAGAATGTAGTGCAGCTGGTAAATCATCTACTTGAGTTAGGTATATTTTGATGAAGATAAGGTATGGTTATGGTATTTAAAATATAGATAAAGGTGCTGTGGTCTTGAAAATTAGGTTTCTCATAATTGCTGGAAATGCTTACCCTTTCTAAGTTGCTTGACATTCAAGTACTTAGGACAAGTAATATAATTGAGTAGCAGTTAGTCTGTTATTTTTTATAGAGAAAAGGATAACAAGAGTTCATATAATTATTAGTTTGTCCAGTGTGCATGTAAATTTATACATTTATTTAAATAATGTCAGTTGTTTGTATTTCATTTATTTGATTATTTGGTAATTCTTTACAGTATGGACGCACTCACAAGAGACTAAGTCCACAATCCACGTCAAAAAATTTATTCATTCATTCATCAACCCACCCCTTGGGCGTGCCTGGGGAGCTCTGCCCCCAACATCCCCCAGGAAACATTGTCTTCACCACAGTAGGCATGGCAAGATAGACCTGAAACTCAGGAGTGCCGAGTGGAATGAGGATGCAGGCGGCGGTGGTGTTACCATTCTTGTCTGCAAATTATTTCTTGTACTGACTATTGCTACATTTTGTTTTCTACAAGAATATGATATTCAAATTGCCCTAACTTTGTGTGTCCATACTGTAAATATTAACCCAGTGCCGACAGGTGAAAATGTTTGGCAAGTGAATGTAATAACGGGATTGTTGGCATGCATTGGCAGTTTCTCCTGTTTGCTCCCGGCTCGATTGGTAGTTTGCGAATGACATTTGGCACCTAAAAGCTTTTATTTTGCTATAATTTATAAAAATATTATAATTTTGAAGGTTTACCTTCATTATAGGTGCCATTGCCTAAAATCTTTACCATGTAAATGAAGCCGCTACTATCGGAGAAAAACAAACTCCGTCCGATGAGCCAGTGGCGTGGGAATGGGCAGGATATGATGCCTTTCGTTTTTCGGGCCACAACAGCCATGGCATGTACGTACATGCCACCCATTGGCTACGGGTTAACTGATTATTCATTTTATAAATATACCGCTTGGCTGTGTTATATTAATATGATAAGGCTATAGTTTTCTGTCAATTACTATTTGTATGGATGGCATCACTTGAAAGATTAGTAGACTTGAATTTTTGGATAATTGGTTCATCTTTTATCCTTTTGTTTGATGTGATGTTGAGACTCATAGATGTCTCATAAGTTATACATAATAATATTTGTCCACTTATTTCAGGGATGGCATCTCAAGTTGCC